AGACTCCCCGCCGAGCAGGAAGCCCGATGTGGGACTCGATCCCAGGACTCCAGGATCATGACCTGAGCCGAAGGCAGTCGCCTAACCAACTGAGCCACCCAGGCGCCCTTATCTGAGTATTTCTTAAAGTCATTTACCTCTTCTTTTTTTTTCCATTTACCTCTTTACTGACCTAATTTACAAGTAGTAAAACAATAAACTGTTAGGGCTCTTATGAAGTAGTAAACTTACTGCTAATTCATTGAAGACATTTTAAATATTTAGTTTCAATGGATAAAACATGTAGACAAAATAAAGCAGTCTTTTCATGTCGAAAATATTTACATCAAGTTATTTTTTTAATTCTCAAAATTACAGAATGGTTTTTAAAGGACTTATAATTTTATGATTGTAAGTAGATAGCCAATCCCTGAGAATTTTTGTGAGGGGAGGAAGTTTTTGTAGCAAATAATAAGTCATGTCAAATTATGGTTAATACAGAAAGTGAAATAATTGTTTTCTTTTTCTTGGTCACATTTTTTTTCTGGGTGGAAGGTAACTAAAGTTTATCTTTTTATAGTTGATTCATTATAAGGAATATTATGTGCATTCTGCTTTTGGGTGTTGTAACTGCAGGCCACATACTTTAAATCTCATGCTCAGGTCTGGAGCTGTAGAAAAAAATTTAAAGTTAAGATAAAGGGAGTAGAGTACTTGTTAGCCAGATATGTAGCATCCTGTAGAATAGCCAAAGTAGATAATAGTTGGGTAAAAGAGTTAAAGAGATACAGAGATGGTGAAAATTATTGTTGTTCTTTGCTGTATCACTTTGGCATTAACTTTCCACAAAAATAACCCTTATAAGCTAATGTAATGAGTGCTGATTAATGTGTCTCTCAGTTGAAATTCTTCATCTAAATACTTTTTATTACATTACAGTATACATTGTTTTGTGGCAAATTTTGATAATTTCCTTTCAAACTTAATAATTGTTATTGAATCCTGCATGCCAGGCACGGAGCTAGATGTTTTACCTTAGTTACTTCTAATTCTCACAATTCTGTTTTACAGTTGAGGAAAGCTAGGGCTTAAGAAGTGCTCAAGTTGCACAGCTAGTAAGTGGGGGAGCCAAGATTCCAACCTGCTTTTTTTTTTTTTAACTTCACTGTCATTCTGCTCTGTTTTTAGCATAACATAGCATAAAAGCCCATAAAATGTGTGGGCAAGAACTTCCCTAAATTTCTTCATCCAGTATATTTTATTTTGTCTTTGCTATCAAGAATGAAGTTGTTCTTCATTTGAAGTACTATAATAGTGTGTTACCTTTTTAAAAAAATTTTAGGGGATGTAGGGGCAGAGAGAGAGAGAGAATCTTAAGCAGGAGCGTGTGGAGCTTCACTTGGGGCCCATTCTCACAACCCTGAGATCATGATCTGAGCTAGAATTAAGAGTTGGGTGCTTAACCAACTGAGCCACCCAGGTGCCCCTATGTGTGTTATCTTAACACTCGGTGAGATTAGTGACAGACATGTATAAATAAGGTAGCCCTTGAATCTTAAGTTTAGTTTTTTTTTCAGTAAAGCCTCTCCATTTCATTGTTTTCTTAGTAGCTCTATCATAAGATGATATTGGGGGAAAATTTCTTTCTTATTTGGGTTCATTAAAAAGTCTAGCATTATCTATTGTGAAAACATTAACCGACATCACAGATACTATTTACAGTTTCATCAGAGCCTGGGAATGTTAAGATTCACGTAGGAAATGATAAGTTCCAATTTGGATACTTTGAATCCCTGTTCATTAATTGTTTTCTCATAACATCTCACTGCTGCTTTGGTAAATGCATAATATTACAGCAGTAAGATTAAACTGTAATACTTACTTGCCTGCTTCATTTTATCAAGTCAGTTTGTCCAAAATAAGAAAAATCATAAAATGTAATATGGCAGAAAGAATATACTGCATTGGGAGTTGAAAGAACTGGATGTTAGTTAATCTTGATTTTTGCCACCAATTAAATATAACTTTGGTCATTTCTTTTTATTTCTCCAGTTTGAGTGTTTCCCTCCTTTGCAAAACAAAGAAGTTAGAATCAACTGTTTTGTTCCTTTTGTTCCAAAATCCTATGAATCTGTCATTTTTTTTTGAATCTGTAATTTTTAAAATAAAAGCAGAGGACCACATTTCTTTGGCTGTTTCTTCTAAAACAGCAACTCCAATACTGTTAAAGTTTGTAGGCAGAGTTGCAGAGTACTGCTAAGGCTGCAGTAATTACCTTTTTTCTCCTGTAAGGTTTTATCTTATAATCTAAAGAACATTCTGCATAGTAAATGACCATCTTTTCCTAATTGGTACTCGTGGAAAATGTTATACATTTTTCCAGTGGGTGACAGCCATTTGTTTCATTCTATTTGAAAAGCCTTGCAATGGGAAAGAGAACTAGTAAAAGTAAGGGATTTTGTATTTAACACTTTAGAGATTAGTTTGAAAGCAGTTATCTAATATTATACAAGGTACAAATTAGAGGTTTAGGTTTTTGGGGCCCATTCAGACAATCTGTGTTTTTTTTAAATAGTGTTATTGATGTTTATTGTATAATTATGGGTCCTTTTTACCCTTTTTTAAAAAAAGATTTATTTGAGAGAGAGCAGAAGCAGGGGAGCAGCAGAGGAAGCGGGAGAAGCAGGCTCCCTGCTGAGCAGGGAACCCGATGTGGGGCTGGACTGGACGTGGGGCTCGATCCTGAGCCCCTGGGATCATGACCTGAGTCTAAGACAGTCCCTTAACTGACTGAGCCACCCAGGTGTCCCTCCCTTTTACCTTTTGAAGTATGGTATGTTTTATCATGTACTTACTGTAGTAACTCATTATTTAGAAATCAACATGTTTTCTTCTACAGTCTACATAGGATAAATCATCACATATTGAAAACTTTTCCATTGTTAAAATTTTTTAATTTGGCAAAAACTTTACACAGTGTGTTCTTGATATTTAAGTCATACGTTCTTATTTCTTAGGTATAATCTGTTT